TCAACGTTTTAGCTTTTTCATATTCCTTTACATGTCACTACGTTTAAATAGGTTGACTTGGGACATTTTTTTCGTGGTTTTTGTATTAGACCCGTCGTCCATTTATTTGTAAGTCAGTGTTTACTGCAGTAATTTTTACAAGTTATTATGATATGATACTACATGATTGACAACCGTGCTGACATTCGAACAAACGAAGATTGTTGCGCGATTGACGCTCTGTTTATTTTAACGCCTTATAATTTAATTTATTTTAACGCCTTATAGATGCGGACACTTTTAAGCGCGAACCCGATATCCATTTATTGGTAGGTCAATGCGTATAATAAATAGATCTGCCAATATTTCATCTGAAAATTGTAATTATTGATGATAACAAGCGTCTTTTCTTAAAATAATTTTGATTTTCGCTGAAATAAGTATAAAAATTTGATCGATGAACTGGTATCAACATTTTGTATGAAAAGGTGATTTTTCAGAGTTTCCAACTTAAAAGTTGTTTGATTTTATAAGTCTCTACAATTCGATTTGTTCCGTCTCGAAAGTCTCTAATCTTTCTTTCTTATCTTACTAGGATTCGAATCATAGAAATGAATCGGGCGAAGCATCTGAAGATCAAATCAAAACAGACGCAAAGTCTGAATCTTCTGTTTTATCTCACGAACAGTGCAAGTCATATCAAGCTCAAGAAAATGTTAGATTTTTCGTAATGAGACGGTGAGTGCGTAGGATAAGGATCTATTTGTCTGCTTAGGGTTAACTTATTTATAGGTGTCATTTTTTAGTGATCTGAGGGTCAGCGAGCTATTGCATAGGGCCCTGGTGGAGCAATATAAGCGTTCGTGCCAATGGCAACCATGGTGCAATCTGGCGCAATACGACACTTTTGGCGATCGACGTATGCTTCATTCGGTGCTGAAACCTATAAATCGTACGGAATCTGAGGTATCAGACTACGTTATATTTATTTATTATGCACCACCAATTTGGTTTTTGTTCATTAGGCACCACCAATTTGTTTTTTCGTTCACTTCATCAAAATAGCCACAGATAGGTCTTAAGTCATTGAAAGCGAGTTGACCCATAATTCAGTAGTTAAAAAGCAAAATAGCAGTTGGTGCTTGTTCAATCCCACACTTTGATGGACGTGGTCGGAACACCTTTTGTATGTGTCATGCCTTCAGATTACGACGCAAAATAATAGATGATGAAGAACTCAAAACGGAATCCGAGAACGTGTGTCCATTTTCAGTCTGTAAATTTCCATACCCTATACGGACGGGTGAATCTCCAATACCATAAACATTTTCTGCTTATTATAATATGTTTATTGTAAAGACGAAAAGACTTGCAACTTAGGCCATAAACTTTGTTACACCATTATATTATTTATACTAGTGATGGGAAATTCTTGAGAATATTCTCACAGCGGAAACTTTGCTGTTTTGTAAACATTCTTTTTTAAAAGAATCTATGACAATTAAAAAATGAGTCACTTTGTTACCTTGGTTTTGAGTGCGACTAATAGATACGAGTACATTAGAACGTTTAATGAAGTTAATGTTTAACGTAAAATCTCGGTAAATTCTCGCGAATGAGAATATTCTTGAGAATATTCTTGGATATAATAACATATCTCGAAATTCTATAATTGGAAATTCTCGTTAATTTCATACGTTTGTTTTACCAACCTCGATGACACAACCATAATATACGTACAGTACAAGTGAAAAATGGTGGACTGAACTCAAGTATGCGGAACTCCACATACTACTGTTAGCACTCTCGTGACACGCCCATTAAGCACTTCTATTGTATTGTTCTGTGGTTTTGTCTGGCTAACAAAATGACAATACAGGCTGTCGTGTGTGGATTTTCCTTGTGTCATCTTCACCACTATCCTAAACCAAAAAATTGTAACTCTCCATTAAGCAATGTAAACCATAATTCGTTAAGAGAGATATTAAGATGGTCATTATTATGCATCCCATTCATGTGACAGAAATGGCTAATGGACTCAAAGTTATCGGGCAAACCGAAGTACTTGACATACAAAGATTTAAAGAAGGACCCTGGTAAAGGTTTTTATCACTGGATGAGGCCGTTTGAACGGTTTGAGGCCCAACCTGCGAAACCCGAAAACGTACTACCTCTGAGACTTCCCAGAGCATTCATATTCAGGTCTGTACCATTCAACTCATTTGCAGGCTACAAAGAGACTTAGTGACCCAATGCGGCCAAGGAAGTTATAATGTATTCGAATTGTTTCGTGCACTTTTTTCGACATGTAGGTCTTCTTACAATAGTTTTGATGTCCGTTATCTATAACTTAAAATATGTCTGCCCATACCTATTCAAGAAGCTGTAGGCCCTTACTGAGGAACGAATTCGTGACCTTTACGGTAGAAACGTTTATTCGGCGAATGGCAGTGGGACAGCAAGGCAAGCTACCTTAATCGTTGTAATTACAGGCAAACTATTCTAGAAGACTATCCATTAATTTTGAAGATATTTTGATTGGCATTCACAGATTTTGAAAAAATAGTACAGTCAGCCATATAAAAGGCAATTTTTACAAAACTTTTTATTATGCCATTCGATCCGGTCTCTGGTAAGGATTAATAGTCTCTATGAGACCAAATGAGGTAAGAGTACTCGAAATGGCAGAAATCGCAAAAAAACTTTTACCTCACATTTTAAATGAAAAGTTTTTGTTAGAAACGAAACTGGCCACTACCTACAAATAAGACTTAAGTAAAACCAAATCATAATCATATCACTATTTTTTAAGTTTGGAACCGAACCGGACCGGATCCGGAAGGAACCGGATTGTGCAAATTTGCTTAAAGAAATAATACAAGAGTTGGGCAGATACAAACATACAAATATTACTACAAATGTGAAAGTAAGCGTGTACTATAAGAAATGTACTGATATTCCAACTAAAAGGTAAAACGTAATTCCGAAAACCGATTTAGTTTAGTTTTGTAATCATCCCAAAAAATAAACATTTGACATAGTTTTGTAATCATCCCAAAAAATAAACATTTGACATTTTATTTCGTTAGCTCGAATTAAACGTCATTAATAAAAAATATTTTTTTAAATAAGATCAATGCGACTCGCGATAGTTTCTTTGTTCTAAATAATTCAATCGCTCGTGGTTCGAACAATTGAAAATGACCAAAAAGTTTATATAAGCTTCTTGAAATTGACGTAATGGGTCTCTTTCTATCTTTTGCGCATGCAATGTGTAGAAAAAGGACAGTTAGCTATTTGATTATTTTTCGTGGTTTTTGTATTAGACCCGACGTCCATTTGTTCATAGGTCAATGATAAAAACCGATAAAAACTTACAGTGCTTCTATTTTCTCAATGTCTAACGGGAATCATCGGATTTCCGAATGCACACGAATATTTATTTCCATGCCGCCCATTAATTATTACATTTAAAATCTATAATAAGTAATGCAATAATTTGAATTTTGAACAACGTACTTTATTGTTGTTTTGTTTTCATTTCCGTGTGAACTATATACAGGTGTAAAACTATTTCCCTATTTGTATAACATTTACTCCATATCAAGAAGCAAACAAAGAAAAATATGAAGTAATTAAGTGTGCTTCTTTTATACATATAACTAAAAATATATTTTTCACCTCACTAGCTCGGAAAGGCTTTCTTTCTTATTAGAAATCTGCGCGCAAAAGCGCTTTTTGCACGCTAGAGTGGAAAAGGTTTTTGAAATTAGAACCTGACGGTGGACTGTGGTGCCCCTAACTTTTTCCTTCGATGAAATAAAATCATAATGATACGTTCAACTACGTGATTTGTCGTACATTATTTATGTAATTTAAATCCGTTGGTATATTTTATTCTTATTATTTTTCTTGCATAACAAATAACTGTATCCGGTTATTAATCATTTCAATCCAGTCCGTATCTGAACGCATTTCATCATCTGTCAGCTATGTTAATATGTTCGCTATCGATAGAAGAAGCACTTTTCGCGCTGCTCAAACAGGTATTTATTAAAAAATTGTCTATGTACGGTTCAAACAGTTGTTTCTAACATATTCTTTTAAAATATTCTTTACTGTTCCGATTGAAATACCACAAGCTACAAACACGCGTTTTTGAACATTTTGAAAAAAAACCAGTATCGGCTTTTTGTAAAAAAATAGAAGTACACGCTGTAAATTATGTGTCATGACTCTTAGAATAATAACGCATAGAAACCTAGCCCGCACACGCTAAGTGAGGCAAGTTAAAGGCTTCCCAACGGGCTCCCAGGAGCGCGCGGGCTGTTAGTGCTCAAGGTCAAATTGCACCGCGAACAGCTCCAAAATTTTTTGCTAAAAATGACGAAATGTGCGGTAAATGGGTGTAAAAATAGAATAGATAAACATAAAATAGACACTAACATCACATTCCACAAGTAAGTAATGCGTTTCAACTCATATTTTTTTGTAATTATTCACTAAAACAGAAAAATAATTTCGCGGCAACAAGATACGAAAGTGTTGCAAAGTAACGAATTTTTTTTCTCCCCATTTTGCTATTCTGTATCAAAATGATAATGTTACGTAAATTTTAGTGGTGTCTGTAATTTCGGTTTATTTGCGCATCTTGAACTAATATTTACTTGAATAAACATTAAATGTTTTCGTTAACTCCTGTAAGTGATTGGGACACTTAATTATTTTATAATACTTTTAACGGCTCTGCGTTCATGCTTCATTGAATAATTATTTATTTTAATTTTATTTGAATTGGAGCACATATTGCAACAAATGTACAGTATATATTTGTTTCTACTATAGTGTTGGCACCACCAGTACAACTTTGATAGCTTATTATATGTCTTTCTTTTCGTAACTCGAGCGAAATATTTTATATTGAAATATTTTATTTTCTTAAAAGGGGAGCATTCTTAAGCGATTTTTTAATCTATTTTAACAGTTATTTTCTTTAATGTTTGCTTATAACCGAAAATGCCCGGTTTTAGGTTTCGAATATGGCACTTATTTCTAAATCCAAGATGGCGGGCGCGATTTTTCGAATAATGGCAAGTTGGATATCATTTTCGAGATGTTTGGGAATGTTCAATACAAATATGGCACTCATTTCTAAATGCAAGATGGCAAACACGACAGTTTAAACAAAAGCAATATTCGTAATGAGCACCCCCAAATACCTCGAAAACGATATCCAACTTGTCATTATTTGAAAAATCGTGCCCGCCATCTTGGATTTACAAATAGTGCCATATTCACATTGAGCATCCCCAAATACCTCGAAAATGATACCCACATAGCATTTTTTCGAAAAAATCGTGCCCGCCATCTTGGATTTAGAAATGAGTGCCATATTCGTAATGAGCACCCCCAAGTACCTCGAAAATAATACCCATATTGCATTTATTTGAAAACTCGTGTCCGCCATCTTGGATTTAGAAATGAGTGCCATATTCGTAATGAGCATCCCCAAATACCTCGAAAAGGATACCCATATAGCATATTTTGAAAAATCGTGTCCGCCATCTTGGATTTAGAAATAAGTGCTATATTCGTTTTTCATCGACAAAATCGAGCACATCTGTAGGCACCTGATCGACAATGTCGGGCAAATCTGTAGGCACCTTTAACTTAATGATGAGTTAAGCAAGATACAATTTCCCCACTTTTGAGGGAAATGTTATTCCATGGCATCATTATTTATATATTTGTGTGCGTGCCGACGAGCGTAGTTACAAGTTGCTTACGCCTACATGAATTTGGTTTTTGCCTCACTTGTGACAGTTCGTTTGATATGAAACTATCATTCTATGCGTTATTATTCTAAGTCATGCCTATGATTTTAACTCCTTTGCACCCATTGTATAATAAATAAAAAATAACAGCTCTATATACTTCCAAGTCGACTTAAAGCGTCCGGTCTATACCAAGGGCTAAAGGCAACTAAACTAAATAAAACCCGACGACAGCCGAAACACCAAGTTTGCCGAGGGACATAGAGAAAATAAGGTCCTTAAAACTATTCCGTCTTTTAACACCGACTTCAAAAAAGGAGTAGGTTCTCAATTCGTCTGTATGTACTTTTTTTTGTATGTGTGTTACGCGATAACTCCGGTATTTGTGAACCGATTTTCATGAATCTTTTTTTGTTGGAAAGGGGGTACTTCCATAGTGGTCCCATTTCATTTTGAAAAAAGCATCCACCTTGATAGGTGGCTGTTCACGCATGAAGATTCATTTTTATAAATAGCGCCTAACTTTAATTTAGGAGCAATTACTTTAATGGATGATTTTGCTATTTCTCCAATTCAAGGCGTTTTTCTCTCTATATACTTTGAGTAGTGAGAACAGATTTTTATTATCTCCAGTTTCAAGTCCTGTATAGTGGCGAACTAGGGGATATTTCAATTAAACTTAGCAAATAGACGTAACTCCACTTACTTTTGAGATCGACTTTTTTAGTACTCTGTACTGAGATTATTTTTACATTTGTCACCGTCGTATTTCGCACCGCGATAATGGCGAATAAAGATCGCCGCCAGCTGTCGAAATTGAAATGACGTCTTCCATTTCAATCAAAATTTAAAAAACTTTTGAAAGTGAAAAATATAATTAGCGATCCATTATTTTTGGCGGCATAGTTCAAAAATGTTCGTGATTGGTGCACTGTCCATCATCGGTTCCACTACCTTATGTTAAAATTGTTTTCACAAAAAAGTTCTAATGATTCCTAAAACAGTTTCCTTGTATCTCCTACGGTTAGTTTCCCCATACAGACCCAATTAAAATAATCACACTTGGTAACCGAAAACATGCATGCCTTGAATCTGACTGACCTACTTGTTCGTTGTTCTGAACTTGGCCCCTTAACAAGTGTATAATATATCATTCTCAAAAATGCCTCATACTGCTTTGTGGAAAGTTTGTAGACAGTTTCGAGTTAAAAATCACAGGGCGCTAGAACAGCAGTGGGGAGAAAAATTGCGCGAGGAGATGAAAGGTGCGCGGGAACTGGTGAATGCAATTCTTAAGTACCGAAATGTGATGGATTCTGACATAGAGACGTTACTGCACATCCCTGTGATTGATACTCGTGATGAAGACGAGCGCCGTACCGACCGAACTATACAATCCATTGGACACAGGTTACTATTTTAGTAGTTCCAATTTTTTTTTTATTGGTCTATTTGCATGGCACTATAACTCATATAACGCCCAGTCAAACTGAATGTTGTAGGTACATATTATACAGATCGAAGGAGGTGCATACGCGATGCGTCACTCTAAACTTATTTCAAAATCCCTAAGCATACTACAACGTATAATATTTAATTTGAAAATTTTACAGTTTATACATTATCATGAATAAACTGTAAAATGTTCAATATATAGCCTTATAATTATCACATTTAATTCGTCAACATGATATGTCGCAAACTGTCAAGAATTTGTATGTTCTAGGCTGTATAATAATTTGAGGGCGCAGCTGGATGAAGCGGTGCAGAAAAATGCTAAAGCCGACATAACCACCAAACCTTCACCCCCCTCAGAAGAGTCCATTTTTGATGGAGAAATCTTGGGAGAAGGTGATCGCATAATAATTGTCCAGTTTTTGCAGCTGAATTTTACGAGTGGTAGACTATCTGTAATCGTTATAGGAATTTCAGTAAAAAAGGCGACAAGGTACCTAAAATTTACAATGCAACCTACTGGTATAAATACCTATAGGTAAAGTTTCGATAGCAACAACCGAAAAAGGTGCAGTAGTTTTATGTGTATTTTCTGGTACTGTTAACCTTTGGTACTGTACTTGGTACTTGGTGAAACGGGCTGATATCCGCAACTCGACGACAAAGCGCCTATTTTGCGTGTGGTGGGTGCAGGGTCCTACTCGTGCCACCCAAGCTCCTCCAGGAATCTCAGCAGCCTCCTTGGTTTGCTGAAGACTTCGGGGAGCGACCTTGGCACTCCAAGGTATTTTGCCCTGTAGTTGGCCACGCCGGAGCACTGAAGTAGGTTGTGCGCAGCCGTTTCCTCCCCCTCCATGCACGCTCTGCATAGAGGGCTGTCTGTGATACCTAAATTGAAAAGGTGTTTATTGTATGGACCATGACCCGTTAGGGCGGCAGTTAGAGTGCGAAGCTCTTGCCTTTTAAGTTTAATTAGTATTCGAGATAGACTGGCGTTGAGCGTTGGGAGTGCTTCCCTCGCCTGTCTACAAACCGTTAGGGTGGTAAACTTTTAACCTTTATAGTAGGGACAGTCAGCACCCCAATGATGTGTTCAACTAAAATTTACTTTTAATTTTTTTTTATTGTATGTCAATGTTTAACCACCATGATATTCAATTATTTTTTGTGAAATACTCCACTACTTATGTTATAATTATTAATACAAAGATCGGACATTTACAAAAATTCCTCACGTATTTTTCTGTGCTTGTTGTCTGTGTTGGATCTTTGTTTTTTGTTTTAACGACTTATTTGCCGTAGCGCCATCTGTGAGAAATCTATGAAAATATTTTTTTCACTCAGTAATATTAACAATATTACAATAATTGTATTATCATGGTTGTGAAACATCCTGACATTCAATAAAAAATAGTTAATTACGTTTAAAAGTGACATCTCTAGCCAGCAGGTGGTAGCTGTAAAGGTATCTCACTGAGTGAAGAAATTACTTTCATGGATTACTCACCGATGGTTTACTTTTTAACCGACTTCAAAAAAGGAGCAGATTTTCAATTCGACTGTGTTTTTTTTGTATGTATGTTACGCGATAACACGGCATTTGTGAACCGATTTTGATGATTCTTTTTTGTTGGAAAAAGGGTACCTCAGATGTCCCATTCAATTTGAAGAAAATATTCCACCTTTAAGAGTGACAAATTAGGGGATGAATGACTTTTGAGGTCGGTTTTTAGTACTCTATACTGTTTTTGTTCTCTGCCGATGGCGCTACGACAAATAAGTCGTTAAAATTAGTGTTGTGTTCTAGTAAACTACGTCAAGTTAATTGCATGGAACTTGGCGGGCTGGTTATAAGCTCATAGTAGGCCCCCTGTACTCTCTTTCTCCGTCCGACATCCGTCCGAAACAATTACTGTGAAATAAGTAATACTCGACAAATTAAAAGACGCATGATGCAAATGAAGTTGCATACTTGACGTTTTCTTTTAATTATCTCGAGCTCGAGTATTACTTATTTGACAATAATTGTTTCGGACAGATGTCAGACAGAGAACGAGAGTAGACCCCAAGGCCCGCTGGTTCGTTCCGTGGATTATTTTTAAAGTTAATAAAGTCACTAGTAGTAAATCTAGAATTCTACCAAAATTAAATCAGTTTGAGCACAATCGAAAAGCCCTCTTATTTTGATGACTGTGGATTGTATTTGAAACGTACTGTAGACACATCTTGATAAGCTTAGTAACTTTTAGGAGAATATGAAAATCCAGAAAAACTATTAAAGGAAGACCGCACGAGCATTCTACAGGAATTAGACGAGGCGGAAAAGATGAGCCCCGAACTGAAACGCTACTGGAGGCAACGCGCCGAAGAAAAGAAAGAGGAGAACTTTTATTGGTTATTTTTCCCTCATTTAACATCGCATTAAGTTCGCAGTTCCCTATCAAATAGTAAACCCTTTTTAACCAGAATCTATCCACATATTAATCGTAAACTTCTGGGCCCAAGAATGCGTGTTGCCCTTTGTGTATAAATATAATGCATGTACCCTTAATTCAACTTTCAGCCTGTTCATTTATAAGTGTAATCTGCCTCAAAATCACATCGAAATGATCGAGGCATTGCGAAAATATCTGAACATTTGGTTAAAAAAAATCTTAACTCAATTGTTTTATGCTATCCCTACTTTCAGATGTTTTTAGAAAATTTCAGTTTAATCCATTGACTTACAAATAAATGGACGACGGGTCTAATACAAAAACCACGAAAAAAATGTCCCAAATCAACCTATTTAAACGTAGTGACATGTAAAGGAATATGAAAAAGCTAAAGCCTTGTATTTAAATTGTAATATCATCGCAGTACTGTCTAATTTTGCTTGTCAAATCGAACAAACGAAGACTAAAGCGTGAATGACGCTCTGTATACGATTTTAACGCCCTATAAGTTCGGACACTTTTTAGCGCGGACCCGACGTCCACATAATTGTAAGTCAATGGTTTAATCAAAATATTTTTTGCTTCAATGAATTGTCGGCCAGAGAAAATAATCAGTAAAAAACAGGTTTTAATATTTTCCCATTTTCGGAGTCGTTTTCATGCCTAGATAGATATACGCCATGAAGCCTTGTTTTCAAACTATTATGAAAAAAAAAATAAGGGTGTACTTATTTGGTAGGGGAACATAATGTTTAAGTGTTTATTTTCTGTTTATAATTTTTTAATATTTATAATTTACCTACGCTATAAACTGATTTCCCCAAAACTAGTTTTTACCCGACCGCGTATGTGTGGGTCCCTTCGACGACCCACACTTGGTAGAAGGAAGAAAAAGGCTTCACTGGCAGTCTTGAAGTCTTCTCTGATTTGTTATCGCGTTGCCGTTATGGATTGGAAGATGACCTCCTATCACATGTTGTCGCGTTGTGGGTCTTGGTTGGAAGAGGAGTTCCTGTCACATGTTGTCGCGTTGCGGGTCTGGATTGGAAGAGGGTGCTTCTTTTTTTTCTCTAATGTACACTTTGCAGTTGGCCGGTGATGGCTGCCGTCCACTAACTAAAACGCGGCTTAGTGACAAAAGGTGAAATATCCGTTTTAAATAGCAAAAGATAGAGCACAAAATTCTCTTAAAAACAGTTAAAATTAGTTATCGTTTTCGACGTATCGGACCTTACCCTAACGATAGATAGATAGCTGAAATATCATTAAACAATTTCAATATTCTAAAACTGGGAAATGGTTTTAAATGATATCTCAAAATTTTGTTATGTCACTTAACCACCATTTAGTTAGCGGACGGCAGATGGCCTTGACCATCGCCACCGATTGAATCCTTCACCGAAAAGCTCAAGGTAAATTTCAAATTACATTTCGCACATAAATTCCGAAAATAGGTTAGGAGGTGCGAGTAAACCATTAGGCTACAACGGATTTCGTATAATTTAGTTATTATTATTCAGTTTCTCTTCTTCTACCGTAGTACTACATAGATATTTACAACACGTCTTCGCTCTTCATGCACTTCCTTCGGTATCGTCACTCCTAGTGAGGAAACCGTATGTACACACTGTTGCCTTCTGGTTTGAAAGATTTCGGTTACATTTACAATGTCACCGTACGTCTAAGCGGTCTTTTCGTTTCCGGTTTGACTGAGAAGGACTAAGAGTCGTATTCCAGAACTATGCTCAATGATCAAGTCAGGACTTGAATATGATTTAAAGCACTAGAAATCATACTCAGGTCCTTGCCATTAGGGTCGAATTTCCAGTGCTTGAAATCATACCTAAGTCCTCACTTGAGCATTGAGTAGTTCTGGAATACGACCCTACGTCGCTCCGGACTTGTGTCTATACTTTTACCTGCTACAAACGATAATGTATATTCCGCTAGGAGTATGCTGCGCGAAGGCACCGTACCGCTCTATTTCCGCAATATGCTAGGCGGTGCCATTTGGTGGGAAGTCAACGCGTTGGCCGACGAGTCCATTACCAAAGCGCACCGCCGAAAAATGAAGTGCGTCTGTGCTGAAGAGGGCACGACAAGAACCGGCGAAACTGATGTCGCCTAAGGTGGAACAGGGCTTGCTGATAGTTACACAAATACAGTAGGGTAAAACCAGGGTAGGATGGCCATAGTCTTTTCTAAACGCTGTCAAAATAAAATTTTAGATACGTCATTGCAAATTTTTTTTTTGGTATTAAACTTTGAACAATTAACTATTAATTATTTAATAGAAAAAAAGAACAAATTGTCTTCAGACCAACCTCAAAACTAGTTTAAAAAAATATTACGTTGGGCCATCTCTTCCGAGGTGTCCGGGTGTGATGACCATAGGACTGGGTAAGATGGCCAGTAAATATTTCTAGACTTAGATAGGTCTTTTGTTTGGTGTTTTGTTTTTTTAAGTCTTCTTTAATCTTCATGTCGTCAAATCCTCAGTTTTCGTGAGTGTGGTCTGGCTCCAAAGCGTGTGCCCAAAAGTGGCACACGACGACGCATTGAAGCCTGTCTTCGATAAGGCAGATTTCATAGCAGCAACAGCTTTAATAACCATCGAGTTCTTTGTTAAATTTTTACAATTGTTACACTTATTAAATGAAACTATTTCTTACTTATTTAAAAATATTTGTTTTTCATACAAACTAAAGTTTCGGGCCGTTTACAAATACTATTGTATAAGTATTGAGACATTTCGTAAGCATATTAATGCTTACGAAATCTCTCAATATTTATACAGCATTAAAAGCAGCTATTAAGCTGCTTTTAATGCTTCTTCAGTGCAATTCCCTCTCATGGCGGCTACCTTTATTTTGTATTTAGTAGACATCTAAAACAAGTTCGAAAATAAATGAATTATGTTATTAATATTTTAGACCTGTGTATGGTCGATATAAGTTGTTCATACGGCCGTCTTACACCGATTTTGATTGGCCATCTGTCCTAATATTCCGGGAGAGATGGCCACATAAAATTTAAACAAGAAAGAAGGTAACACGTGAAATTTTGGCTTATAACAAAGCATTGGATGGTAGACTAAGCGATAAATACAAAAATAATACATAATTTACACATATACATAATTTGAAAAAATAACTTCAATGTAGTGTAAAACATGAACCCTCTAAAAAATTTTTGTCGTCTTTAGTTTCGTTAGTCAACTTAACGATGTTTTTACTTACTTTTTCTTTTTTTGCTCAGAATATTCGCCGTACACTTGCACTTAGACACGACACGAGCGAATGCGAACTAAGCAATAACTGCCGCCATCTAGTTAGCAGATAATTAAAATATTGCGATTGGCCATCTTCCCCTATGGCCATCTACCCTGGTTTTACCCTAACTATTTTTTAAAGTTTTGAGGAAACAGTGGATATAATTGTTATAGAGAAACTCTGTAATCTCATAAAACGTCTCTTGATATTTAAAGTTGTATCTCAAACTGATAAAATTTTAATTGATTAATACCTAAGTACGGTAACAATAATTCTATACATAGTCAGGTCATAAATTCTGTCACATGTTTAATATAAAATAATTGAAACAAGTTTATTCATTATGTAACCATTTATATACCAAAATGAACTTAGCAAATATAATTGTAAGTCAATGTTAACAAACATAGATTCTTATGACACTAAAGTTTATTCAAAATGACCTCCGTGATTTTGAATACAGGCTTTCAATCTGCGCGGCCAGTTGTCTATCGCAGCACGAACGAGGTCCATGTCAATATCGGCGGCTGCCTTAATCAAGGATGTCTTGAGTGACTCCAAATTGGGATGAGGCTTTGAGCACGCCTTTAATCCAAGTGTTGCCATATCTTGTAATCTAACGGATTCAAATCTGGACTGGAGGAGGGCCAGTCTTCGTGCCGGATGAAGTCGATTTCACGCGCCGCCAGCCAGTCTTGTGTGCTCTTCGCTCTATAAGCTGGCGCCGAATCTTGTTGGAATACCCAGTGCCTGTTATTGAACATGGTATGAGAAACAGGTTCCACAAGGTTCGTCAGGACTGTATTTTGATACACAACTGCATTCGTTTTTACACCTTTCTCACAAAAATGTACCTCTGTTAAGCCCCAATAAGAAACTCCCAACCATATCATGAGCGAGGATGGAAAATGACCTCGTTGGACACGCGGAATACGGTTGCTCGCTTCTTCACTACTGTGTGCGTACACCTTATCATTTTGTTTGTTGTAGCTCTCTTCTACGGTAAAAATTTTTTCATCTGAAAAAAGAATTTCCCGATATTTTTTCCCGCGTACCGCTTCAACAAAGCGCGGCATCTCTTCAGTCTCAGGTCCATTAGGCGAGCATTCAAACGATGTCCTGTTTTTCTTCGATATGCCCGAAGCCCTAAGTCTTCATTTAACACCCTTTTCACCGTGGTTCTGCTTAACCCCATCTGAAGGGCCAACAGTTTCTGCTTACGTTTGGGATTTCTTTGAATTCGCGCCTTCACAGCTTTTATCACTGCTGGAGTCCTAACAGACCGAGGGCGACCACTTCTTGACCTGTCATCTACACTAGAGTCTTCATTGTATCGTTTGATGGTACGCTAAACGAATCTTTTGGTTATATTCAAATTTTTCAGTATGTCAAAAATTTGAATTGGCGCGTAACCGCAACGATGCAACGCAATAACTGCAACACGGTCTTCTTTAAGCGTCCACTCCATATTTAAAAATGAGTAAAATTCTGAAAAGTATACATTTTTATTTTCATGAACAACTCGAAATTCGAATTCAATAAACTTTTTTGTGGCCAGCATTCTAAAAGAAAAGTTTTTACTGTGTGACAATACTTATGACCTGACTGTGTATGTTTCCAAGAAAAAAATAGATTGTCCCTGCGTGACCTTTACTGAGTAATAAACCTTACGCATCTATTAATAGTCGAGGTACTTATAAACTTTTGATCGTAATCGCGATCTAATGAGCGAGAACGAAAGATGACAGATATTTTTTTTTTCATCTGTTGGCTGACAACCCCAACATTTATGCTACTATTTGAAAATTGGTGTATTAGTTATGCTATCTGCGATTTTTGTGATTTTCTTAATAATATGACGAAGACATTGACCTACCAGAAGACTATGAAAAGTGATGTGCGAATGCTTCTTTGTGAAACAAGGGGAGACATGAATCGTTTTCAAGCAAAGTTAAGAATATTTGCTTGAATTTCCTATTTCATTAGTTAGTAGGTACGACGTAATAATATAGTTTCCCATGAAATTTGTTTTATTTTTAATAATAATAATAACTTTTGTTGATAGCCATTACAAATAATTAACAGTAATAGTTATTGTTTGCTGACCAGTCAGCCAATATCCAGATCCCACAAAAGGATTTAACCTGTGTTAGCGAATAGTATTATCGCCGCCACGACGGCCAAGCATTAATTGGTATTTTTAACAAAAATGGCTTACGAGTAAACTAAAAGGAACTTTGTAGTAGTCATTTAGTACCAAAACCAGTATATTAAAATTGTTCATACATTTCTAAAGTTTTGCGAGTCTTTTCAACAGATAGTAATTTTATTTAATGCTAATATACCTATTTACCTATTTATAGGGAATGTGGAGTATTCCGGGAATTAAAATACATGACATGCCCACAGTTTCAAATTAGAATAGGTTTGATATTGATGCTATCAGAAAATGGGTCAAAATTACTAAGGACATTGAAGATATAATATCCGATATATCCAATATATGTTAAGTTCCGATATATCATTGGAGGTTAATTTTTTAGAGTCTAATTTCGATTATGATGCGTAAATATAAAATTACAAGAAATGTGTATATTTTTTATATAATATTTATATGTCTTTATAGAACTACCGAATACTGTATGGAAATAAACATGCATGGAATTGGCCATGTAATATTTTAGGTACTTTTTATTCTATCCGCCATTTTATTTTAGGTACTCTTACCCGCCAACAACTTACCCGGTTGGTTCTAACATGCCTAAATTATGAACACACATTTGACAGATCAATTCGTAATATAATTTTATTCCCATTGTATACTTCTATCAAAATGATTTTTTCCTTCTACACCCGTGATACCATACAATATTTTTTTAATTTTCCCGCGTTTGTCCAGTGTCATCTTTCGTTAGCCGGACTATAAAATACATCTGCAATCGTCAACTTCCGTAAAACTCGAAGAATTCCGAGACTAGAAAATATTACTTGTAATACAATCAAGAGCACATCAAACTTGACACTTTGGGACCGCTCTTATTGTTAATGACCGAGTTGAATTCTTAGAGGATGGAAAAAAAAAGTAGAATTCAATCTTAAATGTCAAGCTTGACGTGTCTTTGACCCAGTACCTACGTCAATACATACACCTATTGGACATTGTCCACAAATCATTAATATATTCGAGCGTTCAGATCCGTATGACATGAGTTTCGACGTCATGTCTCACTTTATAAAATTACAACGGACTCGCAGATACGCCAGCTCTGCTGTGTCAGGGAACATATTATTATTATTTCGTTAATGGCGGCCATTAGGCTTGGGCCAGTGTCAGTATCGGATCCCATATTTCTAGGGCTGTTAGGACTATTTGTCAACGATGCTATATTCTCTTTTATATAACTACGAAGGTGTCACACAAATGACTTTAACCCTTAGACTATTCCTTTATTTTTTTTCCATCCTCTAAGCTTTCACCTAGCTTTTCTATGGGGACCATGTCACATGTTCCCCATAGAAAATGTGTCGCATTGTAGACACTCTGTACCTGACAAAAAATGTGTATGTAGTGTAATTTATGGACGTAATGCACATGGAGCGAAAATACTACCCCATCCATGAAAGGAAAATAGTGCAGTCCGTCATTGCTACGTATTCATATTATATTTTTTGCCACCCTATTTTTTAGTGTTTGTTTTAGTTTAGTTTGTATCGTCCCCCTTTGAAGTGGTTGGTGCAGGGGTGTAGTTATAGTGACTTATTATATTGTCGTATTATATTGATTTATGAAACTGGCATAAAATTAATTTATTTTTGAGTCATTATTTGGTGTACTTATTTACAAAAGTAGATATTATTAACGAAATAATATAGACTTCAATGCCCAATCGTAATTTTCCATAATACATTTTTTAACTTGATGCTACTGTCTTGACTATTATTTCGCAGCTCTCACAACCTCAAATGCTTTAGGAAATTCAAACTGACCAATCACATGGCTATAATATCACGTGATAAAGGCAACCGTGAGCAGTACAGCGCTGCATAGACCATCAAAAGCAGTCGCTCGCTGATTAAACAATTATTTACTTATAATTAGCTTGTGTTGCAAATATAATAAAAAACAATACAAATATGACCAAACCCGATGTACCGATTGGTGTCTAGCGAGAACTCACACTTTAATTTTACAGTAATTCAACGACTACGGGCGAGACAAGTGCGAGTACTACAAATTGGCGGCGACGTTGAAATTTTTCGAATTCGTTTGTCTTGTCTTGTTTTCCCCACCGCTTTTTCCGCTATGACACTGTTTCCTTAATAGCAAAGGGAACCGAAAAGCGCCGCGATTGGTCCGTTATAGCAACCAATGTCAGAACTGGTGAAACGTTTCCCCTAAGCACGAAAGGGACCGCATAGCTACAGCAGCCGCCCGGACAGTACGTCTCGGGCCCTTGCTAGGGATCGTGTTTTTGACGCGATTTGCATGCGTCACCAGTTGTTTGTCAACAAATGTGGATATTTGTGGTTGCACAGCATATTATGAGAATATAGTGAATGTTGTACGTAAACTATTGGCCGACTATTCACGTGAGTTGCTCGTAGTAAATATGATTATTGAAACTGAGGCATGATAAGAGATGGCGCTAGGTGTCGCGTTGAACACCCGGTCATTGAACCGCAGAGTACACTCCTTTATATAGGTAGAGGCCCTGCGAGCCTGCTATTCAATTCTTTACCCTTTTGTTTATTTTCTATCGAATTGTCTTATTGCAAGCCTCATTGCAAAAATAAAATTGTGAAAGGGGTGTCAATTAAATCCCTCACAACTGCATTAGGATCAACTATATATTTGTCATTCATTAACCTAGAAATATGAAACATGCATGAACCTACTTAATTACGCGTCACAGTACTTTAAGTTACGATTATGAGTCTAACATTTAGAAATTGTGGCCTGTCACGGTAGTCAGCGACAAAATCCGTCAACGTTTAATAAAATTTTTCTTATGGTGCACTCTCGTTTGCTGAATTTCAGTTTTAATAAAAATTGCATACATTCACTTAATGCTAAATAAACACTGAACGCTGACTATGCCAAAATGTATTTTAAATATTTTGTCCTGTATCAACATAGTAGATGTATATAAGTATGTAGTAGTTTGTTGATATGTTCTAGTTTAACTGGTAAGTACCTAGTTTATTGTAATTGGTACGTTTTAGTTTAAGATGCAGGATGATATTGTGTTGTAATTAAAAGGGATATACCTAAGTAAATATTTTTACATACCTCTATCGTCAATTGTGTACCTACCTCGGTGTTAAAAAAAGTACCACTTTAATTAGTAAAATCGCTTTTAAAAATAATTTTTATGAATTCTCTCATCCTCTTCCAAAACCAATCAAAACAATATTTCGTCCAAATAAAAATATTAATTAATAATTGGAAATGTCCTAATCCTAATCCAAGCCTTAACTCTACAGTGTTTTTTTTACTGGGACAGAAATTTGAAACTATGGGAGATACAGATACAGGGAAACCACCTTAGGAACCATGAAGTGTTTTTTTATGTGAAATCAATTTTGGCATAGTCAATTTTTGGTCAACCGTGAGTAGTCCATAAAAATGAGTAAAATTAATTCTTTTTTAATGCCGATCGACTCAGTTGTTGTAGTGATAATTTCAATGTATTGGAAGAAAAAACTCCTGCTGAGTTGGTCAAATTTTTTTCACAAAAAAAAACTTAGTGGTTCTTGAGACAATTTTCCTGTAATACTGTCCCAATTAAAAAAAAACACACTGTACAAAGAACGTTAAAAATATTTCGAGAGTGACTAAAAACAACAGATGCATAAATTGTAAAAGTACGCTTACCGCCCCGCGCCGCGGAATGGAATTTTGTTGCACTTATTACTACTGCACGCACTCACTTCTGCGCTTAAATTCGATTGTATTTAAGTACTTACAATTCTGGTTTCGTAAGAGATTTTTAATAACAGTTCCCTTTGAAACGCTCAATGAATGATGCATTTTTGCTATTTCGCTCATGGCTTAATGAGGAATGGGTCTAGAAGGCCATGTACTCACTGACGATATAACTAAAAAGCATCTTTGTGTAAAACGAGGCATTCATTTGAATTTGAAATAATAATATGTTTTATTTAGGTGAAAGTAAAATGACGTTATCAGGTGAATTAGTCATCATTCAACATGCTGTATAAAATGTCGCTTGGTCTTATAAAACGTTACTGTTTCTATTCTACTTTTGTTGGTTGGTACGCAAATTTTGTCCACGAAGTTAATCCTAATAAACCGACAACCAAAACACGCCAGCGCCAACCGCACGCACTGGATGCATCTGTATGTACACACACGGGTTCATGTGATAGCGGTGAAACCATATTTTCTCGACTTTTCAATTTCAATTCAATTCAAATTCATTTATTCAGATAACTAGGATCCATAAGTGTTAAAACAATGAAACTTATAATTAGGTTAGTACTTAAATTCTAGAACAGATTTTGTATTATTAATAAGATGCCGCATTGTGGGACACTCACACCTAACCGCAATTGTCTTCAGGATGCTGTTACCGCTGCCACGTATTCTGTTCAACAGAGATGCTAATCTTTTGCGCAAGACTGCCATGAAGCTATCCACACGGGCTTCAGCAAACATGGCAGACGCACTGCAAAACCGCGGCAGCCGCATCAGCGTCCTGAAGGCGTTATTGTATTGCGTGCACATGGCCCTAAGCGAGACTTGGGTATAGCTGGCGTACAGATGCTCACCATGTCATTGGCATAACTAATATTATTGAGACATACTCCATCTATATAGCATCCCACATGAGTGCTGCTAAGCTTACCGATCAGTGCATTTATGTACAGATTAAAAAGTTTTGGAGAAGTTAATCCCGCCTGCCTAACTCCACATTCCGCAACATATGGTTAAGAGAGAGCATTGCCCCATCTCACTACGTTAGTTTGATTGTGACTGTTTGAACCAATATTCAAACAGGCCCCTTAACTTCACCGGCATGCCCGTCGCCCTCAATTTAGCCCATAGGATGTCATTATGAGACCAAATCCACCCATTTTCGCGTGCTTCGCGAAAATGGGTGTCTTCCTGTCGGTATAGTACTTGACAGTATGCTTCAAGGTCACTATAGCGCTTTCCGTAGAAAGTCCTGGTTGAAAGCCAAACTGAGCATCATATAGGTGTAGATACGGGTTTAAATATGAGTTGAGCACGCCGTCAAGCACCTTGGCTACGACTGTCGCCAAAGAGATTGGCCTATAGTTACTCTTATCTGCCACATCTCCTGTCCTATTTTTGATTACTGGTACCACAATCGTCCTCATCAAATCAAAAGGAAGGTACGAATGTGCCAAACATAAATCAAATAATAGTGCAAGCACTCTCGCTATGTGCGCTTCGGCATCCTTTATGTGCTCAATACTGAGGCCATCGTGTCCAGGTGATTTACCTCTTTTGATTCTGCTTATAGCTATACGGATATCTTTAGCTTTAATTAAGGTAACAACCTGTCCACGACTAGCCTCAGCACCGGGCACACCCTGAGACGGCCCAAGAGGCGGTTTCACAGCAAAATGCTGCTTGAAAGTATCTGCTATGTCTAGCTCCCTAGACACGCCATCAACGCTCAAGGGAAGGCCATGCGATCCATGCAACCTATTGGTGGATTTCCAAAGTTTCCCAAAGTCAGACCCAGAAAGGTGCGAAGCAATTTTGTCCATAATTATTTGTTCCTGATTTTTCTGGCACCACGTAAGTCTGCCCCTGAAAACACGTTTGGCCTGTACCATATCGTCATAAATAGACCCCGATCTAGGACATCCAAAGCATTCCCATTGCATAAACTTCGCTTTAGCTTTTATGTTGCATATTATCTTTTAATTTTTGTATTTTGGTTTTAAAGTGCTTAGTCCGAAGGATTCCCAAAGGAGTTATTATACCGTTAAACCTAGTCTATTAGTGCCTACAAACATGACGTTAAACGTAGTGCTTAAATTATCTTTGCTTGACGTTTGACTAAAGCTGATACTTAAAAGTTTATATATTATTTTACTTAATTTTTCTATAAAAATGCAGTTCTAAGCCGAATACAATAGGCCGGGCTCGAAAACAATTAACTTACGATTTTGTACTCGATTGATAATGGAAAACGAGGCAGAATTTTTAAATATTAAAATCATTTTTATATAGAAAATGAGGGGTGTGGGCATGGTGTGGGGTAATAAAAGTTTGACAAGGAATAAAAAAACAATAATTAATACACACAGGCACAAAAGAGTGAGAATATAAACGTGTAGGCCCTACGCCTACTGACGGGACGCCACGGCAGGGAAATTTTAGGCCAAGAATAGTAATATACAAGTTGTAAAATGTAAGTCAATGAATATACAACACAAAAATTCTTTATTGTACACCAAAAAAGGAAACAAATACAGTACTATTAATACAATAGTGTTCTTCGGTTAAATCCAGATAGCAGGCATCAACAGAATGAAGAATTGGAAGAAGAGTTTGTGCAGGGGCAATTTTTGTGGCAATAGTCAGGAAATTATTATACGTAACCGTCCAAGAGATGCGACAGTCGCAAACAGTTTTTGACTGGTCTCAACTAATTGACGTGCCCAAGATTGCTGCCTGTCAATGAGTATACATGGAGTATACCCAGATTTTTTATGTTATCACTAATTTTAATGAAGGTGTCGTCTATAATAAGCTGCGGCATACGAAACCAATGTTTCTTGGATATCATTCTAGAACTCCCAATAACAATCATTTTGCGTTTTTGTTTGAGGCCATATTTTTTACTCCACGTCGAAATATGACTGAGATCATTGTTGATTTCCTCAATGGCTTCGTGCAGGTTTTCAAGTTGCAATATGTTAATAAATTAAATTTCAATTATAATTGTCGTAACCACAAAAACAAAGATGCTTAGGGATACCGAGACGGCAGCCTCCGGAATGCCTCTGCAGCCTTCGTGATGCTTGGCCTGGCTTCCGAAGTCATCTAAAATCTTCTCTTTTTGGAATGTGAGTTCTTCTTTAGCAAGACTACCATTTTAAAACATATTTAGCTTGTTTTTTATTAAACCAGCTTGTACAGTTACGACTGATATTAAGATAGGCTAAGCGAGGGCACGCTTTCGCGACAGCTTATTTCGGCATGACTAATACCGCGACATTGACTTCAGTGTGCGCTTGCATCTAGAAATGCCGATGGATCCCTTGCCATGCCATCCCGCCAATGTGCGCTGGACCTCATCAATTAGACATGAAGTAGCAAATAACATATTTTATAACGTCGACTTGACAAGCCTATCTCAATCTTTGTTGAAAAAATCAAAATTAAACTAATTTTTTTTAGTTTTTGTGACAAATCTGAAACAGTTAAAAAACCAATATTTCATTTCAAAAAAGGTAGATACGTTATGTACACTGCTACTAGTAGCGCTTACAAAAAATGGTCCCACATTGAACATCACAATAAAAAGCAACGAGGAACGCCACCTTACGGTTTGACAAAGAGTAATAAATCCGAAATGATACTTCTCGAAATAATACTTGCCTATTTAGGCAAAGATTATTTTTACTTAGTGATCGAAAAAAATATTATGTAGGCGGAAGTAGTAAGCAGGTTTAGATAGTAAATAATGTACACTTAGAAATATACATATAAATTAATCCATAAATAACATTTGGCTGTCAGTTTTCTTCATTGGCGGACAATGTTTACCCATCGAATACGTACAGTGTGTGTACCTATGTGCAAAATAGTTCATTATGGTTAAATCTAGTTTACCTTGACGTTACGTTTAAATAAAAACATAATTTACATAATGTTAAGTCAATTTGGCCGTATTTATTCGTATTTAAGTAATAATTTTACCAGGTGAATGTTCGCGGTGAGGGAGCGCCCTTAAATTTGATTTTAACATTTTGATGAAGGACAAGTAAAAAACCTACTCCCTTAATTGATAAAAATACCAACTTGCTTCTCACGTCTATTGTTGTTATTCCCGCTATGTAGACTTTCGTACATATCAGAATGATTAAATAATTTAATTAGGTAGTCGCAATAAACATTACAGGGAGCCTACTATGGCTTATAAGTAGCCAGAATTCACTTGACGTGGTACAACTGAATTGCTTAAATTCGTATCATGACCTATATACACAAAGTTGAACGGGAATGTCATGACAGGATGATGAGTTTTACTTTTTAAACGTTAATTATTGTCTCTGGATGGCTGACTGACATCTAACAAGAGCGAGATGAAACTACATACTAAATCATATGAAAGAAATAGACAGATGTACTATCCTGGGAGCGTTCAAGGTCCAATAACGGATTGTGTTCAAAATGAGAATAATTATGCCTTTTTTTATTAATTTTATTATTGATTATACTTATTGCGTTGTTTTGTAATATCGGCAACTTTTAAATTATACTTTACAATTAAATAATTTAATAAACAAATAAAGTGAATTTCTAATTTGATAACATAATTGGAACGTATCTTGTATTCATACATTTTCATTAATAGCATTAAAGTAAAATTTAGCACTATTCAAAAGTTATTTTACGATTTCCACTAAGTCAATAAAGTCATTAAAATGATTAAAATTCCATTTAAATATGTATTGCAATAACGTTCATGCCAATAATTTCTCAACAATACTTTCTTAACTCGAACTAAAACATTCAAAAACGCTCAATAGTTAATTAATAGTATTTATTTATTGACAAATGGATATATAGCCTAAAAAGACAACAAATAATTATGAAACTGGAAATATAACAAAGCTTAAACGAAATTATTTAGAAATGTAACAAATCTAAAAAAAGTTAGTCACGGAGTAACTTTATTTGAATTGCTTATTTTGACAGATGAGACCGCCATGTGCATGGCAAATGACACGTCATGATACGATTTTACTATGAAAGAAAAGATGAACGGATTTCGAATGGGGAACGTAAACTACATAGACAGTGAATTGTTTTTGTGAGGTCATAGTACGAATTTATTTTAGATTTAAATAGGATTGCTCTAAGACCTAATAGTAGGCCCCCAGGATTACAACTACTACTGTACTCACATACATAAATGATCAATGTATGCATATAGATATTGTTAGCTTACATTGTTTTTTTTTCGTGTAAAATATATTTTTGAAGTCCATTATGTCTGTATTCACCGTTTCCACACAACTTTAGACATTCTTTGATTTTATTGCTGATTTTCACCATCCAGTTCTTTTATGCTGTTTTTAAATTTCTTCAGATAGTTCATCAGTGGCCAACAAAGCATTCGAACGAGAAAACTGCTTGTAATAAATGTTAATGCCACTAAATAAACGTTTCCAATGGAGCACTTAAACATTGTAATTTTAAAACATTTTTAAGCATTTGATGTTAAGGAATCCTCACTAACGGCTATCTTCAATAATTCCATGTCCCTACACGAAATAACTCTTAAATATATATTTGTCCTAAACATACTTTATTAAAACTGCATTAATTGAAAGCCAATCGGTTCTGGCCATTTTTGCTATAAAAATCCCGAGAATTAAAAAAAAAATCCAGTAGAATTCACTATTTTAAGCACATGTCACGCCGTCTGTTACACTCTGTATGCATTCTACATTATAAAATAAACTAATAAACATTTCTTGTGCCAGGTTCACTACATTGATTTCGTGGTCTTTTACAAATTTTCTTTAAATACAAAAATCTTAGCGCTGTCACGTTCACACATCACCGACTGCTTTTCCTCGAGTTCCATCAGGTACCTACTTTATACCTGAAATTAAGATTTACATATGTTATCTATAAGGATGACGTTAGCAGTGACGTTTTAATATTGTAGACGACTGGCGACGTTGCCGTCCTTTGCACCCCAACCTTTTTAGGCGTTGTTGCCAAATCTCGCCATGTAATATTAGTTGTAGGGATTTTTTGGAGAGCGTCCCAGTCGCTCCTTTTTACCTGCTGCCGATGCCGATTTATGAGGCGCTCGACTGTAGTTGCGGATAGCGGGTTAAATTTTTTATATCCATGATACGTTTAAATGATCAGCAGTTATAGGCGCCATAGACTATTTTCTGCTTTTATTAGAGCTACGGAAGCAACGCAAAAGAAATTTCGGTCTAATTCATATTGAAAATTAATAAAAACACATTCAAGAAGTCTAAAAAAATACAACGTCCAAGCCCACTAAAGCTCTGTGTGGACGGTTGAATAGAACTCAATGGAATACAAGTCCTGCGCCCACACCCACCCTGCGTTCGCCACGCGCCCGGCCCGCAACTGGTCCGCCACCGCCGCACCGCCGGCCGGTTTCAATGTGACGGGGTTCATAAGTACTGTAAGTACTCGAACATTACAAAAATTCCCGCGCCCGGACCGCGCTTGCTCCCGCCTGTGTGGCCAGAGCAATAGGGTATTGAAACTTATATGAATGTTACCTGACGCACAGACGTGTCTAGTTCGACTTCCAGATTTTGTTAACGATGTAACTGCGACCGATTCATCTTATAGGGCTTTCCAGTTTGTAATAATAATAATAATAATAATAATAATGCCAGACAATGAAACCATGTACCTGGTCTCAAAGTAGGGACTTCCCTTTACTATGCATTGCAGAGCAACTGAATCACGCTTGGGTACTACTCAGAAAACCTTGATCGGAATCAACTTAGGAAAGTTCATTTAATTGGTCCTACCGTCGTTGAGCCACCGAGGTTGTCAATTTTTTTCAAAACAAAATTATAACGTCAAGGTTGCGTATACT